TTGCAGAACTACGCTTAATTAAAATAAAAATAAAATCATGAGCAGTAATAAATATGAATAAAACTTTTGAAACTTTATTTGTTAATTGTCAGAGAAAATATGCACAAACTCTGTGTAAAGTTGTGATTTAAGGGGTGCCTGTTTGCATTATTTTACATTTTATTGGCAGAGTATGCATTTTTAATATTGATTCATCGTGTTCATTTAATTGTGCAATGCCAAAGCTAATCAAGATAAATTATGCTGCCCTGGTCCCTGCAACAACAACATGAGGAAAAATCTTATTATTAGCAAATTACAAGCTGTATTTATTTAGTAACCAGCTCTTTTATGCACGCCTTGCATTTTAGATGTTATGGCTCACAATACAAGTTAATAATTTAAGAATTCGATTGAATATGCTCACAACAAACATATTTTTCTTTATTCTTTTTCTAAGAAAGGTTAAAAGTTTGGCCTTGCCTTTTTTGTGACCAACTTAAGTACAAGTAGAAATCCTGTTGTATCTTAGTTTAGTTTTTTTTTTTTTAGACTTTGTGAGGTAAAAACAGATAACAGTAGTAGAAACAGTTATAATTAAGTTCCACCAATAAATAGAATATCATTTACCTACACAAAAATCCATTCCCTAACATGCAGGGTTTAGCTTCTTTATAACCTTCAGGAAAAAAAAAAAAACTGGAAATCCACCAGTCAATTACGGAGCCATCTGTAACTGTGTGCTCACAGGATCTGGTCCTGGCAGAGTTGCACAGAATAAACACAAGTATGTGGCACATCACAGAACTAAAGAAGCATCCTAAAGTTAACCATCCAATAAAAAGCTTTGCAACTGGGAACAGTAACCTACGCCCAATGGTTTTCCTCAACAACCTCGTCTGGAAAATCACAAAATAGTTGATACAATAACATAGCTGTAAGGGAGAGGAGAGGACGGGTTGAAGAACATGTGATGTGAAATAAACAGGGATTAAAATGCAAAAAAAGACTTGCAAATAAGACTGCACTCTGCACAAGTGTCTTCCTTATTCTTTTCACTTGCTGTCCACAAAATACACAATTTTAACCATGGACAGAAATAGCCATACAAATGCTCAAATAAAACCGATGCACTTGTGAAAGAAGTACTCCGCTCACCTTTATTACAAGTTACATTTTAATCACAATGAGAATGATTCCAATCTGCATCTTCCGGTTTTATTTTAAACCTCCCAAAGCTGTAGAGATAATGGTTCTTTTATTACTACTGAAAGAACTGGATGTTATTCTGGCTTTKAGGTACTTCTAATGAACTCCTTTATATCAAAATAATGGCTTAATTAGCCGTGTAGCGCTGTGATGTGCTGCAGCTCAAACTGAGTGCGAGAACCCACTCACCCCCTGCCTGTGTGAGGGTAGGGTCTGCAGCGGTCTGCACTGACACGGTCCCGTCGCTCACCGCAGTTGCGGGGAAATAAGCAAAGCGGGTCTCCCCTCCCACTGCCTCCCCCGCTGGGCTTCCTCCATTACTGAAAGGGTTTTGGATCACAGCCTGTGACAGATAAGAGAGAAACAGGGGAGAGGCTTGAGCAACTAGCAATGGAGCAGTCACAGCAGGTAAACGCACACCTCATTCTCTGTCAGACTCAATACCGGTGTCCCCTGTAGACCCCAAAGAAAGAGACAGAGCAGTTTGACAGCGTGAATAAAGGAAGAGGAGAAGTGACAGAGATCTCGTTAGAGGGGATAACAGCAAGGTCAGTAGAGCCATCAGTACACTGTAAATAAAACAAACTTTATGGCTAGAAAAATTGACTTTTTTTTAAACAAAGTAAATATAGAGGTCTATATTTATCGAACTGTTGGATATACATATTGATACGATCAAAAACAGACAGCAAACTTTGTCAAGAAGGCATCATTCTTGAGTAATTTTACCGTCTAATAAATTGGCAGCTTTATTTAAAATTAATTAGAGATAAAATGTATATATGTTTCCATCCATCCATCCATCCATTTTCTGTACACGCTTCTTCCTTTTCAGGGTTGCGTGGGTCACTGGTGCCCATATCCAGCAGTCACAGTGCGAGGGGCGGSGTACACCCTGGACAGGTCGCAAGTCCATCACAGGTATATACTGTACATTTATTATGTTTAATACCAGCCAACAATGATTTTCTATTTACTAAGTGAGTATAGGCCTATTGCAATAAGCAATAAATCAATTAATCGAATGATGAATTAAAATGAGATTTTAATTTGCCTGCTTATTTTCATCTTCCTGTTTTCTACTCCTTGGCGTAGCGAGGAGTGAAATCTGGCGTCAGGTATTTAAAAGGCACATGGTCTCAATCTCTGTAGCATGCAAGCCCTGTGAACCATGATCCAGATTTTCTTTTTATTTATACTACATAAATTTCAAGAACTTTTGGGAAACTTTGTAAGTCGTTATCGGGTGGCTGCAATCATTTTATCAAGTCAGAGGAAGATGCATACCGAATAAATTGTGCCGGCCTGGATAGAGGATAAGGGTAGCGATGTGACAGATTCAGTAGATGTTGTTGCCATATACTCTGATCTTGGTCCATCCATAAGGTTACGGAAATTTTGCAAACTTCCGTAAGTTTAGTAAGCAGGTTATGGGGTGTCGTATCATTATATTAGTTTAAAGTAGTTACCAAATAATAACATATACCACAATAATTTTTGAGAAATATTTTTGGTTATAGTGACAGGCCTAATTGTGAAACATAAAAGATCCCCCCAATACAACCACTACAGAACTTTAAATTAGAGCTGGGTTTAAAAAAAAAATCGATGTAATCGATCTGGATRGATTTTCGTTTAAATTTGGGAAAACTGACTCATAAGCCATGAGATCGATTTTTTTCCCATGGGTGTTGTGTGCGATGAAGCTGTGCATTTCCATGTTGTGTGTCACTCCTGGCTTGCCGAAGCTTTATAACCGGTTGACGGCCTGAAGAAATTTATAGTTATTTATAGATTAGTACTGATGTTAGAAAACTACACCAGAGTATAGGGTTTCATTATTTTATAATACTTGTATAATGTTTGATCTATTATGTGTTAATTAAAATAGAGTAGCTACATGTCCGAATTCATATACAACACATAATTGAACTGTTTTTWAAAACCATTAGGGTAAGGTCTTTGTCTGAATGCCTGTGATTCAGCCGTAGGTCAGCAGGGGGCGAACTCAGGCAGTGAAGATTCTGTATATATACTGATTCATTTCCTGGTTATAGGCAGTGTGGTTTGGCTTGTCAGCCGGTGACAAATAAACCTCACTCAGCTCCAGAATTCTGGGTTGTATGACATTTATTTCCTATCACAGATCATCTTATTTAACACTTGTGTTTTCATCTGATTTCAGCCGATATTAAACACGTATGTCTTACAGTTCAGCGCTAACATTAGCTCCCGACAACAAGTTGTCTGGGGCAAAACAAAAGAAACAAATGAATCACTAACATTACAGCTGATTCTCAGCTGAACTTAAAGATAACAGAGGACATGACAACTTTTGTTTTGCAAAGATTTGCGCTCGGATGCGGTAGTGGGAAACAAAGCTTCGAGCGGCTCGAACCAAAACTACGGTATGTAAACATCTGACTGAAACTGTTCTCCTCAGCATATATAAATGTGTGAAAGATGACAGTCTAACAAAACCATTTAGTTTTATTACCAATATTATTTATAAATCTTAGAAACACTCAATGTAAACAGTTATGGAATGTTTTAGCTGAAGTACTTCTTTTTCTTTCTTTCTTTTTGTTGTTTTATTGAACAGAAGCTAACAGAAACATTACAAATAAACAATTTTCATACCCTCAAAGAGTGGGCAGAAGTATACACTTACATTATCCCACCTCTTCTCCTGTAAACTTATTCCATCACTTCTTAACGATCAAGAAAATTATTCTTAGTTTCTTAAAAAACTAATGTTTCAATAACACTTTCTCTTGCAATTCCTTTCAAGATTAAACTCCACTTTACAAGTTTGCCCTTAATGTATAGAATTTTACCAATAAACCAAGTTAGAATTAGTTTCAGTACCTTTGAGAATGTTTTACATATCAAAGTAAATGTGTTACTGCATGATATCCTTAACTAATTTAAAAATCAATCAAACTCAACCGTGAATCGGCCTGAATCGTTGTGAATCGAATCGATTTAGGAAATCTGTATCGATACCCAGCACTACTTTAAATTAACATGTTTTTAACAAATTTGAAATATTTCATTTTTATGTGCCAATAAGTGTTTGTTTAGCCCAAGACAATACACTACAAGCATAGCAAGTGGTGTTTACTGAGTACTGTCCCAGCAGTAGATAAACAAAACAAACAAAAAAAAAAAGGCCAAGCAGGTTAGCTGGGACAGAAGACCACCTTGCATTTCTGCTGCTATATTCTTCTCATTAAATGTATGTTTGAAGAAAAAAAAAGCATCCATACACTAGACTGGTAAATTTAGATGAACACAAGGACAAGACACGCTGTGACTGCTTCATAAAAAAATAAAAATTTAAGAAAAAATTGCTTCATGTGGGGTTGGCTGTCTACAACCACGCTCTGTCCTGTCAAACATAATTAAAGCTGACATTTTCAGAGCAATGAATGGCCAACAAAAAGTTGTCTTATTAATAAAAGAAAACTGAAGGGTCTATCAAGTGCTTTTAATAATGTTTGACTGTCAGTACATAGGATCTCACGCTTTTTAAAGTCTCCTCACAAAAGTAGCACATTTATTTACATGAAGAATTTCTAAACAGTCCGTGCTACCGGTGGGTCCTATTCTATAGATTTAAGTTTAAAAAAGTTTTACCTGAGCTACAGCCTGAGGAGCGCCAGCGAAAGCAGCTGTTGAGACGACACTCACTGCTCCTCCTGCATCTTCCCTGCCGTCGAGGTGCTGGTCCGTTACCTGGACGACACGGTACGTCACCTGTGGGGCGGAAACACGCACATGGGTTAGCTTTGATTAAATTAATTACAGCCACCAGCTGTTGATGCTTTTCTCCTTTACTACAGCACATCTAGCAGGTGTGCTGTACACTGATCAATACCTCACCTGATTTGTAGATTTGTTTATCATTTTTGTTCCTCCCCTATATCCAAGCGTAGCATCTGAATCTTGAGTCCTTACCTCAGCAGAGCAGATCTCACCACCCCACACAATATGCCTACGTTTCAGAATGTGTCTGATTCAATATTAAAAAAAAAACCAGCGAAGAAAACGAGCTTGTTTGTTCCAAGAATAAGTACTTGTATCCCTCTATCATGTGACTGTCCTCCTGACTGACATGTGACAGTTTCCCCATGCCAATCCCAAACCAGACTGGAATCACATGATTGCTCACACTCGACCTGTTTACACCAAATGAGCCACATGGATCACTGACTTAATTCCCCCTCAGTGCTAATCAGCCAAATAAATACCTGAATCTCACTGTGCTTTTTTCCACCGTTTTACTGCCCATCACTGAGCAGCAATSAAGAGGTTTTTACAAAAGTAACTAGGTGCTAACTCAACAACAGTCACAGATCAATTATAGGAAACATAAATGATACACATGGTTATAAATTCAAGTAATTCAGAAAGTGCGGTGTGGACTGAGGAAAARGAAATCGACAACCGTAAAATATAAATAAATAAATTACAACAGTAAAAGGGAAAAAAAAGAGGAGTCTGTGAAGGAACACCATTTACCCAATGTGAACTGACTGTAACTCGTGATGCACTTTTGTTTTGGTTTCTTATGTACTCGTGTATCAGTGTTGACAGTATCCATTTAAACAGCTTTGAATCTCTGCTCAGCCACATTTTGTCTGATAATCAAAAATCAATTTCGTTTTGCTTCACAATTGTGACAAAATGAAAGTGTTTCCAGTCAGTAAAGGAAGARACAAACGTTATAATCAGGAATATTAAATAAACAATAAAAGTAATAATTTGGACAAGTATTAATTATAACAAACACACAGATAAGTTGATCAAATGGGTGTTGAGGTATCAGGTTTCCCCTTTAATGTAGGAAGATTGTTTCAGTGATAAAAGCTCTCGGTCATTAGGGCCATTGAGAACCTAGCAAACAGCATTCACAATGTTGATTGTTAATGGCTTCACATAAAATAGCTGGGTTTCAGTCACGTGGTTTCGAAGGCGGAGCGACCTCCGCTGGAGGGCAGGGGGTAAAATGTCTATGGTGGAAACTACTGTAGAGAGTTTATATTGTATGGATTTAGGTCCTACTTCAAGATATTTAACAACAATTTGCTCACAAATAAGTCAGACATGACTCGTATGATGAAGATGAATGAGTTTTCAACAGAACCTAAAGAATTGCTGAAGCTGTCCATACCACACACGTCTTACATCACCAGGTGCCAAATAATAACTTGTTTTAGAGGTTATGTTTATAATGATCATTTATTTAGTAGTGAGTATTAAGTTACTGGTAGTTTAATGTGGACCTCARCTGGACTTTAGGCTGCCCTAGTTCTGTGTCGTTAAGTGCTGGATGTTTGTTGACATTAGCCGCTACTGCTAGCATTATCTATATAAAACAATATCAGAAAAAAAAACACTCACCCTGGAAAAAAAAACAAACAAACGATAATCATTGTGGAGCTGTTTGGTACCGAGGTTGTGGATCCACCCGCTGAATAAAAAGTTCTACACCTCCTGTTGTTTGCCGGCTTTCATCAGCTGTTCGGTTTAGTTTGCATCCAGTTGAGCTTGCGCTGCACCGTCTGCCCCGGCAGACCAGTAACGGGACCGTGGAGTCCGCTCGGTGCTCGATCTTCTTCTCTTCCCTCTTATAATTGAAATAGCGAATCAGCTAATTCCTCATCAAAGTCCTCGCTCTGTCTCCGACTGTTTTTCCTCCATCTCTGCCTTTGAGCTCCTCTCTCAAGCTGCGGCTCYGTCCGACTCAGTCCACCTGTCCGCAGCTGGACTGGAGCTCCACATTCATCGCCTTTTTTTTTTGCATCAAAGACACTAAAATAACTTACTAAACTTTGCCGTAACTATGAAATATAGTTATACAAACATAATAAATGTAATAAATTTCAGATATCTCATTGCTGACTTTCGATCTCCCTGTCTCTCCATTGCAGCCAAACTTAATTCAACTTCCGCCTCTTTTTATTTTTATCCTCCTGTAGATTTTTTGCCGCTTGTCTAATATTTTCAGGCTTCAGTCAGAAAGGAGTTTGGGGGGTTTGGGTTTGTTCGGCGGGGTGCGAGTGACACCAGAGGGTGGAATGAGGTGTTTTCCCCCATGAATCAGCCCTATTTTTATTTTTATCCTCCTGTGGATTTTTTGCCACTTGTCTAATATTTTTAGGCTTCAGTCAGAAAAGATTTTGGGGGGTTTAGGCTTGTTCCGT